GTTGCTGCTGGTATCTAGTAGGTAGAGGCCAGAGATGGTGTTCAACATCCTACTATGCACAGGACAGCCCCCACAACAAAATGTCAATAGTGTTGACTTTGAGAAATTCTGCTCTAGGCTCTACCCTCTCCCATACTCTCTTCAGGTTGGTGTTGAACTTAATTTTCCCATCTCCATTCTCTGGAGATGAGCTTAGCGCAGAGCCCAGGTACTGAGGAGATCAGAGGTAGTGAGTAGTTCAGGGACCCAAGGTATGCATAGAGAACAATTGTCAGCATCTCTATTTATTCAGTGCCTGACTAAGGACCTAAAGCACAGCAAGTATACATAATACTTAGTTTCTTCCCATGCAGGTTCAATTCTGTTGTCATCTCAATTTCAGTATCTGAAGGAGGAAAATCTATTCACTCCTATTTGAGTGTCTATAGTATCCCTCTAAGTAATGGCTGAAACTGTACACACAACAGGAGAGCCAAGAGAGGCTTGAGCTGCAACTTTGGTTTTTGAGTGGGGACTAGTTGCTCATGTCCTACTGTGGTATTAACTACCAAGAAAGACATAGCATCACTTATGCAGCATTCTGGCTAAAATACATAATCTGAAACGAATCATGAGGAAATACGATAGCATGTTAAAAGTACGTGAGACGAAGTCTTGCCATCTTTGCTTCCAAGGAGCACTCTGGCTGTACTTACTAAACACTTATCAGATTAAATATCCAAATTAAGGAACATTATACAAATCATAGGCAGAGAGTGATGAGGCAGGGAAGCCAAGGAAAAATAATATGTTCTCCTAGCCCTTCTTCTTGGGAAATATTACATGTGTGCATTGCTAAAATATGGAAATTTTTTAATATTTATTTTGTATCCTGTGACCTTGCAGTACTCATTTATAGTTCTATGAGTTTTAGGTAGATTTCTTAAAATTTTCTACATAGACATTCATGTAATCTGCAAATAGAGAGTTTTATTGCTTCTTTTTGGATCTGTATGCCATTTATGCCGTTTTCTTGTCATATTACACTGGCTAGAATTTCCAGAAAAATTTTGAATAAGAGCTGTAAAATTCAGCATCCTTGACTTGTTCTTTTTTTTTTTTTATTGTACTTTAGGTGAAGGTTTACAGAACAAATATTTCTCATTAAGCAGTCAGTACACATATTGTTTTATGACATTGGTTAACAACCCCATGACATGTCAACCGTCTCCCTTCTCGATCTTTTTTTTATATTTTTGGTGAAAATATACATAGCCAAGGATACACTATTTCAAAAATTTCTACATAAACAATTCAGTGACATTGATTACGTTCTTCCGGTTGTGCCGCTATTCTCGCTTTAGATGACGGTTTACAGAACAAAATAGTTTCTCATTAAACAGTTAGTACACATGTTGCCCTATGACAATGGTTAACAACCCCACTACATGTCAACACTACTTGACTTGTTCTTGATCTCAGGGGGAAAGCATTCAGTTTTTCACAATTAAGTATAATATTAGTTGAAGGATTTTTGTAAATCCTCTTTATCAAGGTGAGGAAGTTCCTCTTTATTCCATTTTTTGGAGATTTAGTTTTTTATCATTAATAAGTGTTGAATTTTGTTAAATACTTTTCTGCATCAATTATTATCATGTGATTTTTCTTCTTTAACCTGTTAATATTATAGATTACATTGATTAATATTTGAATATTGAGGCAGACCTGCATCCCTACTTGGTCATGGTATATAATTCTTTTTGTATCCTGCTGAATTCCACTTGCCAATATTATGTCTATATCCATGAGAGATATTGGTCTGTTGATTTTTTTTTTTTGTGCTTTCTTTGTCTGATTTTGTTATCAGGGTAATACTAGTTTAATAAAATGAATTGGTAAATGTTCCCTCCTCATTTCTATTCTGGAAGAGATTGTGTAGAGTTCATGTTAATTCTTTAATGGTTTGGTAGAATTCTCCAGTGAAACCTCAGGATCTGGAGATTTTTTTTTAATTTTTATCATATGAATTCAATTTAATTAATAGTTATATGGGTATTCAAATGATCTACTTGATATTGAGTGAGTTGTGATAGCTTGTGTTTTTTGAGGAATTCATCCATTTTATCTAAGTTGTACAATTCATGTGCATACAGTTATTCATAGTATTTTTTTACTATACTTTTAAGATCTGCAGGACATGTAGTGATGTCCTGTTGCATTCTTGATATTGGTATTTGTGTCTTCATTTCTTTAATCAGTTTTCCAGAGTTTTGTGAATTTTATAGATCTTTCAAAATAATCAACTTTTTGTTTCATTTATTTTTCTTTTATCATTTTTCTGTTTTAAATTTTGTTGATTTCTTCTCTCATGTTTATTATTTCCCTCGTTCTGTTTGCTTTGGGCTTTTTTACCTGAAGATCTTAGGGCAGCTGTACTCGAGGGAAGCCATCTTAGAGCTCCCTTCTTCTAGGTTCTTGGGGGAAGGAACTTAAGTTATTGAACACTGCTTTGGCTGTTCCACAAATTCGATAGGTTGTATTTTCATTTTCTTTCAGTTCAGTGTGTTTTTAATTTACCTTGAGATTTCTTTCTTGACCTATGAATTATTTAGAAGTGTGCCCCTTGGTAATGACAATATCATAAAAGACAACAAAAGCCTGAGGAACTGTTCCAGTTTAAAGGAGACTAAAGATACATGGTCCCTGGATAGTGCAAATGGTTAACATGCTCAGCTGCTAACAGAAAGGTTGGAGGTTCGAGTCCACTCAGAGGCATCTCAGAAGAAAGGCCTGTCAATCTACTTCCAAAAAAAAATCAGCCATTGAAAATTGTATGGAATATAGTTTTACTCTGGCCCACATGGGGTTGCCAAGAGTCAGAATCAACTTGAAGCAACTAGAAAAAGATACCTGACAAAAGACAGACAACAATTAAATGCAACATGTGACGTTGGATTGGATAGCAGACGGGAAAAATTGTTGCTATAAATAATTGTATATGGACTGTGATTATTCTGACTATGCACCGCATATTAGATAATAGTATTATATCAATGTTAAATGTCCTGCATTTTATATTTGGAATGTGACTATTTAAGAGTTTTCTTTGGACTTAGGAAATACATGGTAATTATTTGAGGTAAACAGTCATCATATCTGTGACTTATTTTCAGATGGTACAGCAAAAAATTGTAATAATAATAATATGTAATAGGGAAAATAAAAGAGAGAGAGAAAGCAAACGTGAAATGATAACAATGGGTAATTCTAGATGAAAGTTATAAGGGTTTTCATTGTAATATTCTTGCAACTTTTTTGTACATTCACACTTGCTTAAAACAAAGGTTAATAAAAATTTTATCAAGCTCTTCTGTGTGAGTAGAGTTTTGAATCAGCTTCTTACATCACTTTGTGCAGAATAGTGTGATTTTATCATCAGACAGAGACACAGAAAGTTGTTTCTGAGATATAAAGGTGTTTCTGCTTTACAAATATGTATATAGTTACATATAGCATGTATATGTAATAGAAAGCTATTTCGACTAACTAAATAAAAATAAAAGCATATGAAAATGATACAAAAAGTGGAGATAAATTTTTATCAGCAATAGGAACTTGAGCAACAAATTGACAATTAAATATTTATCAGATTCAAAGATAACTGAAAATGAAATGTAGTTTTTTAGTGGCCAAAGACGGGGAAGGTGCAAACTATTTTTTCATAATAACGTTGACTCTCATAGGTATAGCAAACAGATTTAAAAAAGACACATCAGTATTCTTGTCTGAATAGTAAAACAGTATTATTACAAATTCCAGAATTGTAAGACCTGGTATATATTTGATTTCAAGTTTGTCTAAATTATGAAGAAATGCTTTTGTTGTAATCAGTCTTTTAAAAATAATTTACATATAGATTTTGAAATTATTTGTGCTGATTGAAAGTGGATTAACATTTACTAATTACCGTTAAAATGAGAACATAAGTTTTTCGTGCAGTAATGCTAACATTTTACGTACTGAAAATATCACATGTGCACACTTATCCAGGGATGGAGTTGTGGATGAGGTGGTATGTGGGCAGACTTGGAAAGCCATAATGATGTGACCATCATGTGTGAGACAGAGGCAGTGTTGTTGAAAAGACAGCTCTAAGGTGGGCTCTCTGGAGTAGGGTTGTACCTGAGACCTTCAGACAAATACATAAAATCTCAGCTTTCTGGTGCCCATCCGTTTGAGAGTCCTATTGGGACTCATCCCATTCTAGCCCATGAGAATTCCATTTGAAGCAGGTAAGTGATCTATTTATTGCTGTAAAGTGGTTAACATTGAACAAGTACTTAAAAAAAAAGATCGTTTTCCTGATGGTATCTATTTCACTCTGATATTAATCCATAAGTGCATCCATTTATCTTGCTAGGGTAAACACTTTACTGCCTTGACAATTCCAGTATTTGCTGTCTTTTTCCCTTCCTATCTATCCTTCACACAGCTACCAGATTAATATATGCAAAATGTTTTCCATTTGCAAAGTCAACATGGCTGACCAATGCTTCGCAGGGTAAGTCCAGGCTCCTTAATTTCTATTCAGAGTGAATCTACTTTTGCTGTCATCTATTCGCAAGTTGTCCAACTTTCCAACGTCACAACCACACAGATGCAGAACTGATAGCTGTTTTAAACAAACTTAGCATTTGCATGTCAAACATGTCCCCTTAAACCCCCAAATGACCTCATTCCATTGTCTACTTGATACTTCTTCTACCTATTGACATTCTACACTATCTCCAAAGGTAAGCTCAAATATGGACTCGTTCTTAAGCATCAGAAATGCAGAGTGAGTTGCTCCTTCTCTTGTTTTCCTGTATTAATTTTAGTTTGTACCACTAGCTATTGGCTCAATTGTTTACTTTTCTTTAGCTGCATAATGATCTATTTTATTTATGAGATTAAGACTTCATTGTGAAAACAAACCATATCTTATTCATCTTTTTATACAACATAGCTCCTGGCATCCTAGACTGCAATGGGATGAGGTAGGAGCCAAGAGCTCCTGGTGACATCAAAGAAAATCTTTGAGTGTATTCTGAATATTCCTCCGTCTCTGTGAATAGGAGGTGAGGCCTCAGGTTGTCTGCTACAGGTATGGCTATCTTAAACCACACTGGTATGAGACACAGTCTTCCGCTTGCTGGGCATCCCGGGACTAGAGAACCAGCACCTGTGGATTTCCATTCCTATTGTCATTTCCTATGTTGTTGCCTTACTTGGGAACAGCCTGCTCTTCATTATCCTCACAAGGTGCAGCCTCCATGACTCCATGTACCTCTTTCTCTGTATGCTGTCTGGGGCAGACATTGTCCTCGCTACCTGTATAGTACCTCAGGCCTTGGCCATCTTCTGGTTCCACGCTGGGGAGATCTCCTTGGATTGCTGCATCACTCAGGTCTTCTTCCTCTCTTCCACCTTCATCTCTGAGTCAGGGATCTTGCTGGTAATGGCATTTGACCGCTACGTTGCTATATGCTACCCACTGAGATATACTGCTATTCTTACACATGCCCTCATTGGGAAAATGGGTGTGAGTATCTTTCTGAGAAGTAATGGCACAATTTTCCCCATAATATTTCTTCTGAAAAGATTGACTTTCTGCAAAAGTAACATCCTCCCAAACACTGCTTGTAAGCACATTGTCTTGGCTCACATTTCTTGCAACAATATCCGAATAAACATCTGGTATGGGTTTTTTGTACTAATGTCAACCTTGGTCTTAGATGTTATGCTAATTTTTGTTTCTTATGTGCTGCTCCTCCATGCTGTCTTCTACATTCCTTCCCAAGACACTCGCCACAGAGCTCTGAACACCTGTGGCGCCCATATCTGTGTCACCATCCTCTTTTATGGGCCTGGGATCTTCTTAGTCCTCACTCAGCAGTTTGGAGGCCACATCTTACCACATATCCATGTCCTGCTGGCCAATGTGTATATTCTTGTTCCACCTATGCTGAATCCCATCATTTATGGGATTAAGACCAAACAGATCCAGGACCAGGTTGTTCATGTGTTCTTTACAAAGCACACATGACTATGACCATGGACTTTTCTCAGAAGTTCCATGCTTTACATGAGATTTGGCCTCTGGATGTAGAAAGGTTCAGCTGAGATGGTAGTCAGACACCTGTGTTGGTGTCCCTAGAACAACTACACCAGGGATGTTTTAGCTCATGTTTCTTCCAAGGACTTTATTCTGTCATTAGATATCAGTGTCTTTGGGAGCTTAGTTTGCTCTTTCTCACGCACAGAATTGAGAACTGGACCAGCTTACCTTTTTGAGTTACACTTACCCCTATAACTCTAGACTAGGGGTTAGAATGAGATGAACTGGAGACAAGGGATTTCCCTGGATAATTGCTGAACTATTTTTTTTTTTCTGATGTTTTTAAAACTTTGAATAGTTGTACTTTTTTTATTCCTCTCATTAGGATATTTCTCTAGCTATTCTCTTCTATGTTATTTGTGTCTTCAAATTTTGCTTTTTAGACAAATTATTAAAAAATCACTTATATATGATAATTCATATGTTTTCACCATTAGTATATTTTACCATATATTGATGTGTGCATGTGTACATATGATTTATTTCTCCCTCAAAGTATAGCAAAGGTTTATTAGTGCTTATGTTAATGACATTTTTATTTATGTTGGCATTCATTTAAAGTAAATATTCAAGATTGCTCCACTGGCTGGCTAAAATACAATATTAAAAATAAAAGCAAACAAACAAAAAAACAAACCCGTTGCCATCGAGTCGATTCTGACTCATAGCGACCATATAAGAGAGAGTAGAACTTCCCCACAGGGCTTCAAAGAGTGCCTGGTGGATTCAAACCGCCAACCTTTTGCAGTCATTAGCAGTCAATCTCTTAACCACTGTGCCACCAGGGCTCCAAAATACAGTATACATTGTATAACATAATAAGCAATAATTAAAAAATTACACTGAACTGTAAGAAATGCTTTGTAAGGAGTGCACTTAGCTACATGATGGCATATCATCACATATGCAGTGAGAAATAACAACATGGTCTGTATCTTTGATAATGGAACTATGCTCTCAATATATTTTTAAGAGACAGAAGTAAGTTCAAGATGAGTAAGTCAATGTGATCCATTAAAAATATAGCCACAGTAACATGTAAACATTAATATATGCTAAAACGATATTAATAGTGAATATATAAGAATTATAGAATATAGGTGATTTTTATAATAATTTTAGTCTAAATTGTCTAATATTTATACCGTCAACATGATTTACTCAAAGAAAAATAAATGAGTCTTTTTTAAAAAGTAGTATGATAAAACACGATGGATTCATGTTTTTGCTAGTGTAGGAATGGTAGAGATTATCTCAGATTTTGCTTGTCAGAAAATATTTCTCTTTTTGCCTTCAGTTTTAGATGGATAGTTTCATGGCTATAAAATTTTATATTGGCAAAGTTTTCTTCAGCAGTTTAAAAATGTCCCTCTATTGTTTTCTTGTGCCTATCTTTTCTATTGAGAATTCATCTGAAAGTTTTATTTCCAGTCCCTTCATTGCAATTTGCCTTTTATCTCTGGCTACTTTTAAGATTTTCTTTTGTGTCTTTGTTTTTTCAGAACATTTATTGTCATGTATTCATGTATCGTAGGACAGCTTTGGTTTTCTCTGTGCCGTGCCCCACCCTCTCCTCAGCTCAGTGCCACTTTACAGTTCTGGCAGCTAGCATTCCCATGAGGTGAGCCTGGTCTCTGCCTCCAGAGAAAGCAGAGCATAATTTATTCACAAATTATTGCGTGTGTCTGTCCTAACCAGCCTGAGCAGTGAAGCAAGAGTCATCTCAGTTTGAGCATCTCAGAGCTCACACAGGGCAGAGGACTGGCAGGCAATTCCTGAAGACTGTAACTGCCTGTAGCTGCCTCTGGTTAAAGAATGTGATTAAGACATTCAATAAATGCCTAAGGACTTAAAGGAGAAGCCAACGGTAGAGTTTCTTTGGAAAATTAACTCATTCAAAGGCACTGAGTATAAGGTGAGGGGGAGGACAAGGAGAGATTGACAAAGCAACACACATGCCTGGGACAAGACACATGTGTAGACGATACCTAACACCCTATGATTTTACCTTGGGTTGATACTTAGGTTCAGCGCAAACCTGGCTTAATGTTCAAGGAGGGCCCCAGCAGATAGTAAAAGACTGGGAGACCTTTTTTTCCCTGGGACTCAAGAAATCTGTGTCAAAACACTAGCTGAACGCAAGTGAAGGAACAGAGACTTCAGTGACCACATATGACCAGGAAGGCAGTCTTTTAAGAAATAGTTAGGAAAGTCACTAAGCAAACAGACTACTGCAGACTTTATCAATTAAAAAAACACACACAAACAGACGAAAACAAAAATAAAAAACAAACAAACAAACCAAAAAAATTCTCCTCCCTGAAATAAAAGCCTCAGCAAACCTTGGGGAAGAGAGACAATCTGACTTCCAGAGTCACCACATTACAATCATCAAATGATTAAAAAAATCAAAAGGTGTACAAAGAAACAGGAAGGGACGACTCACTCAAGAGAACAAAATAAAGTGACGGAACCCATCCTGGAGGAAGCCCAGATAATGGACTTACTAGATAAAGACTTTAGGACAACAGCACTGAATATGCTCAAAGAGCTAAAGGGAAACACAAAGAACAAAGTAAATCAGGAAAATGGTACAGGAACAAATGAGAATATCGGTAAAGAGAGAGAAATTATAAAAATGAATCAAACGGAAATACTGTCTTTTTAATTGATATGTGTTGAGGCTACTCTGAGAAAGTATTTCCTACCATCCTCTGCTTGGGCTACCAAATAATATACATTTAATGTTCAATTAGATTATTTACTCAAGCTATTCTTGATAATGAACTTTTCCTTCCTTTTCACATTCTTTCCATATCTTAAAAAAAATCACTATTTAGTTAGTCTAGGTAAATTGTACACACATATTTGCAAAGGAGAAACAGCTTTATGTCTAAAAATAGATTTGTGTCTGTATATAAAAATAAAATTAGAGAATTCTATTCAAAATTATGTCTGGATTTCACTGAGAAGAATTGTTCTCCCACTTAATTTATAGAGATACTCAAAAAGATTTTTGACTAATGTTTATTTTAAGAAAATTAAACTGTAGAGAAACTGCAAGAATATTACAACGAAAACTCATCTAGCCTTCATCTAGAGTTACCCATTGTTATCATTTTGCTACATTTGTTTTATTGGTCTCTCTTTCATTATCCTTATTATATACTATCTTTCCTACACTTTTTATTTTGCTGTTTCATTTGAAAATAAGTTGCAGATAATATGACATTTCACTTCAAATATTCAGCATATATTTCCTAAGAACAAGGAGAATCTCTTACATAGCCACAGTCCAAATAAACAATTCAGAATATTTAACACCGATGCATCATTATTATCTAACATGCACTCCCTATTCAGAATTATCATGGTCCGTAAACAATGATTTATGGAGTCTCTGGGTGGCGCAAATTGTTAATCACTCAACTACTAACTGAAAGTTTGGCAGTTTAAACCCACCCAGCGATGCCTTGAAAGAAAGACTGGTGATCTGCTCCTGAAAGACCACAGTGTTGAAAACCCTATGGAGGACAGCCGTACTCTGCATTCATGGGGTTGCCATGAGTTGGAATTGACTTGACAGCAACTGGTTTGATTTTCATACAATAATTTATAGCAACAATTTTCCAGTCCTCAATTAAATCTAACTTCATATATTGCATTTAGTTCTCATTAATATTTAGCCATGTATCTTTAGTCTCCTTTGGAAACTAAATCTGGAATGATTCAGGCTTTCATTGTCTTTCATTACATCCTTGTTTTCAAAGAACACATTGTTATTATGTATAATGTCCCTCAGTTTGAGTTTGTCTGATTATTTCTTCATGATTTGATTCAAACTATGCATTTTTGACATGAAGACCACATAACTGATATTGAGTCTTCTTTGCAGTATCACATCAAGTGGCATTTGGTGTCAGTTTTTGTCCATTAATGATGATGCCATTGGATCACTTAAAGCGGTTCAGTCAGATTTCTCTCCATAAGGATAACTGTCTTTCAATAAGATTTTAAAATATACTGTTTCACAGCACAACTTAATATAGTAGTTTTAACATCCGTTGATGATATTTGCCTGAATTGGTTATTATTAGTATGCTTTCAAAATGATGATATCCTATCTTAATTATTCCTTCTACATTTATTCTTTTTCTACTATAAAGAAGAGCTTTTGACTTCCAGTTCTAGTCAAGATGAGGTAGTCCCATTCTCCCCAGGTTCTTCCACTTACAACAAAAATCACTGGACATAACACAACAAATATATGAAGACTTGGAAAGGTGGAAGAAAAGGTGGTCTGCATAGGGACATTGTCTTTTTTTTAATTTCTAATGTTTTCTGCACAGAACATATAGTTCCAATAAAATAAAACTTTAAAAAAGAAATATAAACAATATGCTATTTTTTCTAGAGTATCAACTAAATGATACATTGAACACAAGTTAGTTAGAGAAATCACCACAGAGGAGACAATATTGAGAATGGTGTATGAAACGAAGAATAAAAGTTTTCCAACAAGTCAGGAAAGGTTATTCCAAGACAAAGCAGAGACACATCAAAGACCAGGGAGAGATGAGGAGTCAACAGCTTTTAGTTTCTGAGGCTCTGGTTGCTTATAGGGTAACATAAGTGTTGCTGAAAAGGAAACCAGGAACCAACACTAATGGCCTGCCATGTTGAGGAGAAGAACTCACCTGAATTGAGAATGGAAGAGTTTGCTTCCTCAGCATTCTCCTAGCACACGCCACCCCTTCAGAAACCACATTAGAATTTCCCAGCACAGAAGTGATCAGCTTCAGTCTCCTCAAGGGTTCTTCTGCAAAATATGAACACAAAATTTATTTATGTTCTCTTATTACAGACATGCATACTGATTAGGATGTGAATTACAATGTAATATGAATAACCTGAAAGCCTAGGAATCA